CTGAGCCCTTCCACAAAAGTGAAGTTCCAGGAAGAGCTCACCAACGGAAGAAGGGGCCCACAGGAACAGAGTAAGGAGGCAGCTAGGACATGATGGTGTGGCCTCCCAAAGTAGAGGTGATGCTAGCTCTCAATATGTATTCCTATTTGCTTAACTTAACCCTAATATTATCATCCCATTGCTGTAAACTTTGATCAAAGTTCGTTTCCTTTTTCTGTTTGTACAAATACTTGAGACAAGCTCCTTGCAAATTTTAAGCAACCGGTGAAAAATAACAACAATGACAAGGTACATAAATATACATAAAAGAATAAAGCCCCCACCTCTGGAAGAAAATATTTAAAAACTCTGCCACAGATATGGCCACTCAACTCACCTCCTTACTCAAAACACTCCAGTGGCTCCCTATCACCCACTTACTTAATAACAAGATAGAATAGTATTGTGGAAAGTGTCCTATACTGGCACCAAAGGAAATGGATTGAAAACTTTTGGCTCTGCCATTTGCTACGTGCATGAATGGGGCCAAATGACTGAGCCTCTGTGAGCCTCAGTTTCCTCATCTGTAAAATGAGAAAGCTAGAACAGATGGCTTCTAAAGCCCCTTTCAACTCTCAGAATTTGATCCTATGAATAAACATTTGTTAAGAACCAGGGTACAATCCAGTAGGTATTGTATGAAATTGACTATTTTAATCTTGAGCTTTCTCAGTGAGTCAAAGACTGATGGTTGACCAAAAAGGTCTGTCTCTTTAATTATCAGCCTAAGTTGGTTATGTGTGAAAAAGGGAAAATTTGCAGGTTTTCAATAAGTGTCTTAAAAGACTGGAAGGGTCTGTTCAAGTAAAATGGAACAGCCTGGAGAAAAAAGAAAAAGAGATTTTGATTTTATTTATTACCATCAGTCTCATCATCTAGGAAGTAAAATCTTAGCCTGGAATCAAGAACACCTGAGTTCAAATGTGACCTCAGACACTTACTAGCTGTGTGACTAAGCAAGTAAGTCACTTAACTTCTGCTGACCTTATGTATAAAATGACTTTAGTAATAGCATCTATCTCCCAAGGTTGTTGTGAGGCTCTAATGAAATAATAATCGGAAAGTACTTAGCCCAGTGCCCATAGTAGCCCAGTGCCCATAGTAAGTTCTATATAAATTTCAGCTAATGATAATAATAATAATAATACTGTCTCCAGCTCATCTTCTTCATTAATCCATTACCCCTAACAACTATTGAAGTTACTGTTATCCCTAGAAACAAATAAAAGAACAAACACGTTCAGGAAAACCTTGATTTTTCACCAAAGGCAACCAATACACAATTTTCAACAAGAACTCAAAATTTCCAAAAGAGTAATAAATAAGAGCAAAATAAATTTATCAGTGGAATGACTTATTTCTGGCTGAGCTCCCTTAATGCAGGTGCAAAACAGTCAACAGAAAACTTAGAAAATAGACAATTACTACTACGGGAATTATAAATATTTGTGCCATGAACTGTCAAGTATTTTAAGAAAAAAATGAAATGATTTTTCATGTATATTTCCTTATTTTGTATATAAATTCTCAGGATAAATAGCCCAAATTGAGAGTTATTTATTATTAGACTCAATACTTCCGAGCGAAGCAAATTAAGTTTTTCAGAACAATAGGATGTCATTCAGTATCATGGCACGATGGCCTAAAATTGAGTTCATGGACATCCCTAAGCAGTAAGAGGTGATCTATGCACTGGGGTTCATTAATTCAATATATTTAGTAATACTTTACACTTGATAAGTAGGCTTTTCATGCTATAGCTCAAAGTATTTATTAATTTACTTTGAAAATTTTGAAATTCTTTTCAGTCACAGAAAGGTGCTCCTTAAAATGAAATTTTTATCCACTTCCTCAGCCTCTTAAAACTTTTGTCTCTCCTTCATGAGTCACATTTAAGCCGACTTACGGGAAAACCATTGCACTTTCCCAAATGATAGACCTGTTCAGTGGGTGAAATTAAATGAGTAACTATAGTTGTGCAGACCATCTTTTATTTAAAAGAAAGTCTTGACTTTCAGGAAACCTTTTTAGTGATGCAATCTTTTTTTTTCCCCTTTTAAACAAGATTCAAAGTTAAGAAAAAAAAATCCTTATTTGAAGAACACTCATAATCTTCACCCTTAGTTTTTTGTCCTGCTGAGATACTGCTTACCTGACAATATTGTTTAACTAAATAGTTGCCATGCTCCTTGGGCTATTGTTATGGCATGAATATTGTAATAGTATTATATTAATACTATATTCAGATATTAAAGATCAAGTCCCTAAGGCCAAACAAAATGGAGGGTTTCCTAAAGACCCAGTTTATCTAAAATAAACCAGATTGTTAATCTAGATAGTTCTGACCAAGCCAATAGACCCAATATAATCTTCATCTTCAAGAGTGAACGTCTTAAGAAACTCCCTAAGTAAAAACTGATTTTAAGTTTGATAGAAATATCTGGATGAGTGAAATGGTCCTATTTTGACTATCTATATATTGTCTTGGAATTGTGAACCTTCTAAAACTATGATTAATTAATCTTCTTGCAAAAACAAATCATAATTTTAAGTCCTTAAAATTTACACTTAGTACTCTGACCTTTTGGTTTTGTACTGAGTAATCCTTGCTAGTAATTTGGTATAGGTTTTCTTTTTATGTAGCTGCAGTGGGCAGTTTTCCTATAGAGGCAAAACTGTTCTACAGAGATAGAATGGAAAACTGATCCACATGCCCAGTTTTCAAGATAAATGTTCAAAATGTCTGAATAGATACTGATGACCGCCCTACCTCCTCATCCCCTACTTAATCTCCAACAGTGAATATCTAAAAACTTGGTAAGGTGAAACCTTATATAATTGTGAAGGTGACAATATATCACTCAGAAATGCATCTGAACTTCCATTCTACATGGAAAACGTATGAGGTTGGTCAAATAAAATTACAGACTGCAGTTGAGGAGGTGATTAATTGAAAGGGAGTCTTCATTTGTGAGTTGTGAATCTGCATAGTCATTGAAACAATAACCCCATTCAGCACAGTATGCAATCTGCTTCTACTCTTCAAAAGGAATTAACACTGAGATCAAGTCATCCATCACATTTGGAGCTCCTGACCCCTCCAGGTCAGGGCATAGGACAATAGTAGAATTATGGTGGGAGACACTAAGGTAGATCTTTTCCTCGTAATTGGTAATTGTGATTAAAAAAAAAACAGCATTGTGTGCCTATATAAAACTAAACTGATGAACATCTGAATGTTTTTACTCAAGTTAAAGAAATTACTTTGTGAATGAGCATCTGTAGAACCACATACGAGCAGGCTCCAAATAATGTGTTTCTGTTGTACAGAACATGGCAACCCAAGCAGAGCATATTGTTCCTGGGGGATGAACCACATGCTCCCATGCTTACTCCCTGACAACAATAAGTTTACATTAAATAATGAATGAAGACCTTATATGGGAATTGCCAATCTGTAATTAAAAAAAAGAAGAAAAAGAAAACTCAACAGGTGAAAATTTGACATCTTCCCTTTAAGAACACTACCATTTTAATGATACCACCAAAAAGACCAATGATACCAATGCAATTCTTAAATGCCATATCTGCATATCAAATAGTACATTTGAATACTTTTCATTAAGTCTTTGGAACTGAAGTTATTTTCAAGTCTGACTATATTCAACTGCATAAGCATCATTTTATTTGCTTTGCAATTATTCTCATTATTAGAATATAACAATGATCTTTGTTTATAAAGGTTTGCTGTGACAGAAGGAGCAGTATCTATTGGATGAAAATATGGGTTAAAGCCTACTTCATTGAAATAAATTTCAAACCAATTAGCAAACACAAAACAATTTCTAAATGGTGAACTCAAAAACTTAGCTACCACCAGTTTCTAATACTGATTGCACAAACTCACCAAGTCGCAACTACTTTATACTTTTGTGACTGAAAGAAGTTTTTGTATTAGGGGGAAAATACTTTTACACACTTCTTTAATAATCAGTAAATCACTTCTGTCATCCTACTCATTCATGATTGGCAGATATGAAATCTGGAACACATTCAAAATATTCTATTGGCTGCTACAGGAAGAAGATTTGAGTTATCTAAGAAATCCTGGTAAAATTTGAGTGTCATGTTCTGGAGAAAGGAGTAGAGAGGAATAAATAAAAGATGAATAAATTACTAAAGGGAGTAACGAGCAGCTTTCTGTGCATAACTCACTTTCTTACAGGCTACATGGCAGCACTAACAGCATTGTCAGATGAAGGTGTTGTTTTTGTTCGTTTTGTTCAGATATGATTTAGGGAGGATTTTTGTTGTTGATTTTTTTTAATTTTTTTGGTAACTGCCCAAACTTGAAATTAAAAGGATTGAAAAAAAATTTTTAAAGTATTGAAAATACTAAAGAGTCAGGTTGGCGCTAGTTGCCAGACTTCTCCCCCCCCCCCCCCCGCCCATATAGGAGCATTTTTTTCACGTGAACACATCGGGCATAGCTTGGAAAGTGAATGCCCCCTTGGCAGTATGAGACCGCTTGAATTTTATCTATCTCTCTCTTTACTTAATTATTTATTAAGGCATGGTAGGGTCGGTTAGCCTCCTCTGTGGCTTTTTAATAGTCCTTTCCACACTTTGCCAAAGGGGAAGAAAGGCGGGTCAGGGAGAAAGGAGGGATTCTAGCCCAAGCTCTCTTCCAGAGGTCAAGAATCATGCCCTCTGGACAGAAGAAGAGCAGAATTTATGTGAGGAGTTAGAAAGAGGAGGAAGACGAAGACGAGGAAAAGGAGGAGGCACATTCCTACTCAGGAGGTTAAGAGACCCAGCGCGTTCCGGGTGGGACCAAAGTAAACGGGTCCTTTTTTGGGGGGGCTAGATGGAGGCAGCCTGGCACTGAACCCCTCTCCTCCTGCGCCACCGACCCCCTTAGATGAGACCCCCACCAGTAGCCAAGCCTGTCCCTCACTCACCCAGTCGGCAGATACAGAAGAGCTGAAGGCAAGCGAGGAAGAGCTTGGGAATGAGCATTTCCAAACCGTCCGGGTCCCCCACGCTGCGCAGCTCCTCTTCTTCCCGGGGTGGAGGAAGAGAAATTGATCTTTCTTATCCTCCAGTCTATAGACTGGGGGGACGGGGCGGAGGTCTGCAGGTTCTAGGCAGCGAGAGAGCCGCAAAGAGGAATGGGTCGTAGCGCAGGGGAATCCGGTTATACTAGACGTGGGGCATGTCAGCGTGTGGGAGTTTCTCGCTCTGCTTCGCCAGCTGCTGCTGCCAGCGCCGCCGAGCTGGAGAGAGGAGCAGCCGCGTTACGCCGGTGCATGCGTGTGTGAGTGAGTGTGCCAGAGAGAGAGAGAGAGTGAGTGAGTGAGTGAGTGTGTGCACGCGCGCGCGGGCTCCAGGCTAGGAGAGAGGAGCGCGCCCCGCTAAAGGTGGGTGGGGGAATGCCCAGCGAACGGGCTTGGGTACCCGAGTTTAAAAAGTGATGGAGAGAAGTGGGGCAGGGGGCAGCGTGCGTGCATTTAGGCAATTGGGCACAGGCACACACATATACATACACGCATGCACGCCCTCATTTCTCGCAGGATATTTTACTCCAGTAGGATGGTGGCGTCCCCCTACCCACCCCCACCCCTTACCTCGCCCCCCGAGGCCACAGTCTTTGAGAAACAATGTTTCTTCTTTAAGATATTTATCGGTTTGCAAGACTCTCAGCTTGCCTCTCACAGACATGGCATGCTTTCAATTTGCTAGTGTCCTTTCTGCATTGATCAGTCAGTCGTCTAGTTTTTATTGAGGGCCCACCGTTTGCCCACCTTCACTACTCAGTTCAATTCCCACCTTCTGCGGGAAGCCTTTCCCAGCTTCCCCACACTACTCCCTACTGCTAATGTCTTCTCTACCATAACCGTCCATGTATTATAGATTACCTTCTTTATGTCACGTTTGTACAAGTTTTTATGTTTGTTTTCTGCATAATCTGCCCCGTTGGAATGTAGACTACTTTTAATGAGTTTTCACCTTTGTTTGTCTCTCTGGCTCTTTGCGCAGTGCCTGGAACATCTTAAGTGTGCCTCTCCTTGTTTCAGGGCAGTTCAAAGCACCTTTTTCTTCACTCCTGAACAGTGTCATCACCCCCTCACCGCAGTAAATGAAGACCACTGCTGTTACCTTCAAATTGATCCCCCTGCCTGCAGTCATTCTCTTCTTCAAACCGTCCTGTCCACCTCTATGTCCTTACCCATCCAAACAGCCATTCACTAGATTAGTTAGTAAATCTGGTGTCCAAGTGGGTAGAACATGTGGAGTCAGGAAGAGGAGTTCAAATGCTGCCCCAGACATTTACTGGCTGTGTGACTCTGGGCAACCTGTTTGCCTCAGTTTCCTCATTTGTCAAAAGAGTTGGAGAGGGAAATGGCAAACCACTCCAGTAACTTTGCCAAACAAACAAAAAAAAAAGACCCAGATGGGGTCACAAAGAGTTGGACAAGACCCAACAACGACAATCTTATCACACCCTCACCTAACACTGGAGACAGTGCCTTTCTTGACCTGGATGTACTGTGACTACAATTTTATCTGTGCAGAGAACTGATGACTCCTGGTATGGAAACTCCCTCTATTGATGAAGATGAACAACTCATTTCTAATTTGCAATTTTAGAGAGTTGCCTGGGACATTGAGAAATTAAATCACTCTTTCACAGTGGCACAGTTATGTGTTAGAGGCAGGATTTGAATCCAGGTCTTTCAGACCCCAAGGCCAGCCCACTATTTACTCTACCTGGTACTCTTCAGGGACAGTTCTTTATACTAAATAATTTTGCATGCAATAGTCATTGGTTGTTTAATAGTTCAATTCAATTCAGCAAGCGTTTATTAAGGAACTATTTTGTGCTTGGATACTGTGTTTGGTGCTAGGGATACAATGACAAAATTTTTTTTTCTGCCTTCAAGAAGCTTACATTCTTGAGGACCAATGAAAGAATTCTAAGGCACCTTAGGGAGACAAAACTAAGGCAAATGAATAAATGCTCCAGTGCTGACCCACGTGATGTTAATTCCTCTGCAACTCAATCCTTGGTCTTTGAGAGTCGCCGCAACAGAAAATAATACATCATCTGGACAACCACCTAATAATGAGCCACTCCATATTTAGGTTAGTTGGTCTCAGAAACCAAGGATGCTGCATGTATGCTTTCTAGCTTTACTCTCTACAGGCACCGACTTCAAGACCCCAGGCCCAAGACCCCAAGACCCATAGCACTAGGAGATATCAAAAAAGCATGTTAGTGGAAGAGGGAATCATTTATTATTTATGAATGACTAAAAGGTGTAATAGGAGCTCAAAGAAGAGAAATCAGTATGGGCTGTAGCAGTCAAATACAGCTTCCTGGAAGTGGAGGTGAGACTTCAGCTGGGTCTTGATGAATGGTCAGGATTTTTTTTTAAGTCAGTATAATTCACAGTACAGAAAGTGCAGATAACACAAAGGACTCAAAGGAGCCTATAAACAGATAGGAAAACATGAAGTACTCCACCATAAATGCCTCCTTCGTTATATTTTGAGGTTGCTGAACAAGCAACACCCCTTCCTATTGGCCTTATGCTCTTGAATCTTGAAACACTGACTGAAAATCAGAGCTGGTGATCTTCACATCTCTTGTTCCCCAGGTCACCTGTTCAATCACCATACTTTCAAAGTTGGGAACTCACAAGGCAAATCAAAGGCTGGCGCTGCCCACAATCTCCTTTTTTTTTTTTTTTTTTTTTTTTTTTACTACATGGCTATTATCAGGTCATACTGCTCAGAAAATCAAAATCCCCCCTCTATGTAAGGAGACTTCAGGAATGTTGTTCATGGACTACCACATTAGGCCACATGTGAAGGCATATGTCAAAATTCTATTATAGCCCCAGGTGCTGCTATCTGTTGGGCTGGGAAAGTCCATTCTCAGGATCTCCCATTTCAGGCCACATGGGTGAGTTCATGTAACTCTCATTAGCTTCTGTCATCCCAAGCTGCCATTACCAGTTCCTGGAAAGAAGATTGGGCTTACTTAGGCTCCACCCAAACCCTTCGCTTAACCCCTAGTAAATATCTGCTTTAATGCAGTCTGGTCTGCTTTCTGAAGAGGGGAAAGGCCAGAAAACAAAACAAAACAAAAAAAAAATAAGTAAATGGGTAGGATTTAGCTAAGCAGAGGAATTGTAGAAAGACATTCTAGTTGGAGAGAACAAAATCGAAGTTAAAGAATTGGGGTTGGACAACTATGATAAGGTTCTCTATTTTGCATCTGCTGCCCTGCCTGGTTTCAATTCCAGTAAACAAAATGCCTTTCCCAGGATAAGTTCACACTTATGCTGCAAACTCAAGCCTTGATTGACACCTCTCTGATTGAAGGGCTTGAGGGTGGAGTGCCAAACTCCCCCCAATGCCATCCTTTAAAAAGGGAAAAACTGAACTCTCAGATCATGGAACAAGGTTCCACTACCTCACCCTGTTTTCCTGCCTCTATTTGTGTGTGTTTTCCCTCATCGTAAGCTCCTTGAGGTAAGGGGCTGTCTTTTTTATTAATTGTATCCTCAGAACCTGGTACAGTTCCTGGCACATGGTGGTAGCTTCACAAATGTTTATTGGATTGGGTTGGATCTTGAAAACCAGGTAGAGCAGTTGTACCTGAAGTGACCATCAATAAAGACCTTTTGGACAAACTTTACAAGATCGTAGAAACGTGCTGGGAAGTAAGGCAGTTCACATGGGAGCAGAGAGATTGGAGGGCATAAACAAAGCCCCATCTGCTCCCGAAGTATGCCTTCCAACCAGAGTTCCACTGTCCGATAATAATTCTCTTAACAGTCCAGAATTGCTACTATCAGAGTCACGACTTTGAGTTAAGATATAAAACAACTGGCTTTATTTCTAGAAAGCCAGTGTTGAAACGTATGCAATCTGAGGGATGCAAATACAGGACATAAGTGTCTTTCTCCATTTCATTAGCTTAGATTAGTTTTTCAGCTAATTGCCACTTTGAAGGGTGAAGAAATTGTCTTGAGAGGATGAGAGAACAAAGGAGTTTTCACTGAGGAAGAGAACCATAGATTATTAGATCATTAGAGCTGGAATTTAAACATTACCTAGTTTACTCTTTCTTTTTAAAGATGAAGTAACTAAGGTCCTTAGAGGTTAAGTGACATGTACAAAATCACATAGCAGGAACATGGCAGCCCAAAATCCCAACTAACTGAGTTGGGGGTCCAGGCCTGTGTAGTAGACCTGAATGCAACATTCCCAATGGTACTTTGTGTAGCAGCTAGCTGGTGCAGTGAATAGAGAGAGGTCTGGGCTTGGAGTCAAGAAGACCTGAGTTCAAATTCAATCTCAGACACTTCTTCGCTGTGTGACCCTGGGCAAGCCACTTAACCCTGTTTGCCTCGATTTCCTCATCTGTAAAATGAGCTGGAGATGTAAATGGCAAACCACTCCACTATTTTTGCCAAAAAAAAAAAAAAAACTCCAAATGGAGTCATGAAGATTTGGTTTATGATTGGAAAAACTCAACAACTACAAACCTTTGTGCATTAAGAATAAGGGGGACAAAATGTAGCACTAGGGAAGGACAATCATGTCTTAGAAGATAACGTGCTTTGGAAAGGAGCCTTGGTTGGGAAGAGGAAACACAAAAAGGGAACAGGTATTAAAGACAATCCTGCTAAGAAATGTACTTCAGTTCAATAGATGTATTCAGTTATGTGTTATACCTTTACACCTATAGAACTATATACCAACATTCAGAAGCTAACTGTAAATCAGTGAATGATAATTTACTTCAGCGTATCTGATTAGAACATTAATTATATCTTGGTAAAGTACATTTGGTTCCTATTACAAATGACCCAGAGTACTTTGCAGACTTAAAATTAATATGAAATCTTTAACTGTGTGAATGTCTACATTTCAATTAATAAGCAATGCTCTCCCATTTATAATGTAAGCTTTAAATAATGGCTAGCATGAAAAGATAGGAAATGTTATCAGCATCTAGGACCACAAAGGTATCTGGAATGACAAAAAACAGCCTCTCCCGACCACCACCCCAAGTTAGAATTTGGCAGGAATTCCGAAGTCTACATCTCAATTCTTAAAGAAAAAAAACAACCACCATGTAATGTCACTGTTAGTTAAAAAGTTGAAGAGGAATCATTACTTTTTTATCCTATGGGATACTTTAGGAGACTTCCTATTTCTTCTAGGATGTTTATCTCTGTCACAGTGTGATTATGAAA